TTGATGGCTTTAATTATCCGATAAATAATTATGCATAGAGGGGTCAAAGTGCAACATTGATTTAGAGGTTATTTACTATTTAATTGGAGTGCAATTAATTTCTTTTAGTGGAGTAGAAATAAATTTATGAATTAATTGAATTGGGTCCATGGTTTAATAGACCGGACCAATTATTAATTTATAGGAGCAAAGAAAATAGTAAGCCTAAAAGGATTCTCACCAATAGTTTAAGTTGATATTGGAGTCCTGTTAGAATTGAGAAAGTTGATTTAGAGATGGAGAATGATTTATTGTTTCCTTATTCTTATTTTTATTTTGCCTATATATACATGGGTCCGTGAATATTTTAAGTATGACTTTTAGAACAAGAAAAAGGAATACACTTTCTCTTTCTAGATTTTGGGGTTTGTTTTCTCTTCTAAAGGAGGCTACCACAAGCCTAGATTCCAAGGTCATTCATCAAGGAATATTGGTGATTCCTAAAGGGAAGATTATAATAAAGAAGAAGGAGAAAGGATCTTGCTAAAGGGATCTACAATAAGTGAGAACATTCACTTTAGAGGAAAGATTAAAAAGGTTTACTCAGACCTTTGATGTAAGTATTCAATATGTTTATTGAATGATACATCATCTTTTATTTATTTTTGCATAAAACTTGTCTCTATGTGATGAATCAAGATCCATGATTGCAAATCCCTCAAAAGTTTTTAAAAACTTGCACGTTTCCCAACAACTCTATCTAATGATCTTTGGTTTCGACACTTGTATGGAGTTACTAAATGTAACGTTGATGCCAGTTTCTCAAAAAATTTCATGATGGGAGTTGGAGGTGTTGCTTTTAGGGACTCATGATCCATTATTCAGACTATGGTCTTTAAGCCTTTCCCAGCCTCTTCAGTGGTGTCAGCGGAAGCTTTTTGCTTTAGAAGTGTAATGTATTGGGCTCGGTATTTCAACTTTCAGACCGTGTGGTTTGAATCGGATGCCAAAATAGTTGTGGATGTTTTGAATAATGCTAAGGTCATTTCCACAGAGATTTCATCCTAGATTTTTCAGATTCTCGTTGCCCATAAATCTTTCTCATGGTTTTCGATCTCTCATGTGCGTCGCCAAGGTAAAAAGGTCGCTCGTGCTCTTGCTTCATTATCGTGAGATGGCCATGAAGGGTGTATTGTTGTTTTGTTCACTTTGTTTGTTGGTGTTGCAAAAAAAAAAAAAAAAAAAAAATTTAGTTGTGGGATGTGTTTAAAAAAAAAAAAAAAAAATCATGCATAACTCTTTTCCTAACATCTGGACATCATACACACATTTTTGAATGCCTTGACAGTGTCATTTGGGGTCCTCATCTCACATAATTTGTCATAAATTTGTCACTCCTTTTCAGAATGTTGCGTAATTTGATACTAATGGTAAAATGAAGGTAAGGAAAATTATTTTTGCATCGAATAGTTACAGTGAATTGCTAGACCTACTACTTTTAATTGGTTTTATGAAACAAATAAGGGAGTGAGGTCCTCCACTTAGTTGTATTTAGGATAAATAATCAATTAGAGCCCATTCGATTAGGCAGTTCACTGCAAGTCTTCGGTATGAGTATCACTACTCTTAAGGTAAATGGTATAATTAATATTTAGATAAGATAAAAAATAAATATAATTTAATAAGAAATGACAAATATAACAAAAAAAGGTAAAATAATTTTTTGTTAGATTTATCCTTAATTATCACAAATCATTAGATTTATCCTTAATTGTCACAAATCATTAGTTTAGGGGATAGTTTGTAGGTCACGCCTCCTCATCCCTTTCATATCCCTTCATTGCGAAACACCAAGGGCTTAGGTTAGGTTGAGGGTTATGTCATTAATGGGACAAATGGGGGTGTGCATGATAACTGAAACATTAATCTTAATCATCTTAGTTAAGTCATTGCGAAATTTGGAGAGGACCAAATACCATTGCGCCAAATATCACTCTCAACCTTGTAACATGTAAATTCTTTTTTTAGGTCTTCCATGTAAGTTCATTACACGATTTTTCATCAACAAATATAACACAAGAATTATAAATGTATCCAATTGTTAATTTTTTGGTTGAGTAATACATTCATGAGGCCTAATATAACACTATTTTCCTATGTTTTCATTTGGTTTCAGTCTTTCAGTACGTATAGACCTAGTTATGAACACACATGACACATCTTTTTGCAAGGACGAGTAAAATACGGTTTTGAAAGAAAATTTTCGAACTAACTTTCCAGGACACCAAACGGTCTAACCAATTTGCCAAACATGCATAAGTAAATAAAAACAGAATAAGAAAAAAAAAGAATGTTATTGCACATAAATTATAGGTGAGTGCAAGAAAAAGAAAATTTTAAAAAATAAAAAATAAAAAAAAATAAAAAAGAAATAAAAAATGAAAAAACTGTGAAGATGAAAAAATTAGGGTTTGATTGAAGAAGGGGAATGCAAACTCTTTTTTAAGAGCAAGGGTGGCTCAATATAATTTGAGGCCTTACGCAAAAGCAAAAGCAAAAAATAAAAATAAAAATAAAAAAAAATAAAATGTGGCCACCCATATATATATATATATATATATACTTGTAATATGCTAATTATTTGTTTTATGATTTTTAGACTTAGCACTAATTTTTTTCTAAACTTTAGTTCCATTAGTCGTTAATTGGCAATGTGCTTTCTAATAGACACATTCAATAATATAAATAAAAAATATAAACAAAATATATAATTCTATGATAACAAAAATTTATAAAACTATAAACTAATTTAAATTATATAATAATAGAAACTGATTTTAAAGAATTTGGTCCAATGCTCCAATAAATTCTTTAATACTTAGTAGAATATAAGTGTATTTAAAATCTTATGACAAAGTGAGATTGTAAATTGTAATAGTGGAGAAGATGAAAAAAAAAAAATACTATAACGAGAAAGGAAAAGAGGAATAAGGAAAAAAAAAAAAGAATAAAAAAGTTAGGGATAATTCCATAAAAATGGAGTTTTGGGGGTCAATTGACAACAGAATGAAGTCAAAGTCAAGTTTTTTAAATTAATGGAATTTTATGAAAGTGTGGATATGAAAAATTATTGTACATCTTCTTTTAATTCCCAAAATACTTTTCTATTGTTGTTATAAAATTATACTACTACCCTTCTCACATCTAGAGAGAGAGAAACTCATCTATGCCAATCCTTTCTAACTCTTCTTCTCCGGTAGCTCCTCCTTCCTCAAATTCCGGAAACACACCTTCAAAATCTTCGGAAAACGACGCGGCGAAGCCAGGATGGCCGATAGCACTGGCGGAAGCTACGCCCAAGCCCTCGCCAAGTCCAACCAAACCCGAGAAATTAAGGGCTATTTGCTACTTTTTTTTTTTATTTTTTTTTTGAAAGGTAGATATTTTCTACTTTGATACTGTAAACTTTTAAGAAAAATGGAGAGAGACCCAATTCTCATTTGTGAATATTCCAAATTTTATGGTGTGATTTGGATTTCACAGACCCACTTGAGGATCCACAAGCATTTCTATCAACCTTTTGTATTGCTAAGCCGTGGATCGACCATTACAGATGATTGAGTTGGTTTTTTCATGATGTTTCGTGTTGGGTTTTTGAATATTAGCTTGAATCTTGATTTTACTTTTGTCTGATATGGATTTTGGGTTTAAATCGGGTTTGGAGGAAAAGATGTTTTAGAGGGAACGTGAGAGGGAGAACAAAGATTTGTTGTTTATTATTATTATTATTTTTAAATGGGTTTGCTGGTTAAGTGGGTAAAAGAGAGAGATGGTAGATGGGATTGTTGGTTGTTCGTTTGGGAATAAGAGTTGCTGAGTTTCTCACTCTAGATATGAGAGGGATAGTATCATAATTTCATAACAACAATAGAATGGTGTTTTGGGAATAAAAATATGGTGTTTTGAGAATAAAAATTTGATATATAATAAATTTCCATGTTCACGTAAGACTTTCATAAAATTTCATTAATTTGGAAAACTTAATTTTGACTCCATTCTTTTTCCTTTGACCTCCCAAAACCCCATTTTTATGGAATTATCCCTAAAAGTTAATAGGAGTCGTAGAAAAATATAGAAAGAAGTTTCACCAAGTCTCACTCAAATATATATTTAACATTTACTATTCATGTAATATTATTGATGACGAGGAGAAATAAATAAATAAATAAATATATTTTTATTGTCACGCTATTAAATTTTATATTGGTCGGTTAAGGTTTAAAAAGAAAATAAAAATTTTAGGTAAGTTATAATATATAGAAAAAATTTTTGGGGGCCCTCAATTTTTTTTATAAAGAACATAAATCTTTTAGGTCAATCATTAAATCTGTCTAGTTGTTAAAGTTTGTAATTGTTTTAGGAAAGTTATAATATATAAAGAAATAAAAAATTATGGGATCTCCTTATTGGTTGAGACCTTAGGTGACGGTTTAACTCACTTAAAAAGGCTCCGGCAGGCCATAAAGAGCATAAAAAGAAATTTGAAGAAGAAGAAAGATAAGATTGAAAAGGAAAGGTGACAAAGAATAATTATAAGTGATTTGTAGAAAAAAATTAATTTTAGGGGAGAAATTTTATAAATTTTTACAAATTATATGCAAAAAAAAATAAAATAAAAAGTTATAGCATGGATAAATAATTTACTTTCCAGGACACCAAACAGTCTACATCCACAATGGATAACAAGATAAAGCTGCAAGATAAGGTCTACAACTCATGGGTTAATTGTTCTACTGATAAATATTTGTTTTGGAACTGTATTATGCCTTACACATCAAAATCAGAATAATAAAAATTAACAAAAAAAAAAAAAAAAAACCACCTTTCTCTTTTTAACTGATTTTGCTAATAAAAGGCCACACAAAACGCTTTATATTTGGCCCCAAAAAAACATTATGTGAATATAGTATATCTCTCTACCTTCCAAGAAAAAAATACAGTAGATCTCTCTCTCCTTCTCCATGGCAGAGCATTCACATTCCCGGTCACCGCCGAACAACAATTTATTAGGCATAGGAGGATTCTGTAAAGCATACAAATCGGTTTTCTCGAGACGGCATCATGAGAAAAATTCATCTCGTCGGAAAGTTGATAAAGAAAACAGGTTCAAATCCATGGATCATATTGCTTTCATTGACGAAACTAACAAGGTACACATTTATATATATATGCAAACTTTTTATTCATACATATTAATGCTTCAATTTCAATATTGCCGTATCAATATATGATTCTTACAAATAAAATTAAAAGTTTTAAATACCAAAATGGTAGAAGAAAATTAACAAATAAATAAATACATGCATGTGGTTGAAAACTTGATCCTCGATTCTACGAGAATTTTTATGAAAGTCTTTCGATGGAAGTTTTATTTTTATTTTCTAGTCCCTTAACGAAGAATTAAAATCATGAATGGTGAGCATGATTTGATTTCATAAAACGGAAAAGGAAACTAATTTATGCAATTTTAACACACAACCCATCGAATTGTGAAAGAATTTCATTAAGTTTTATTTCCCGAGAATGAATTTCAATTTTTAGCCTAATAACCATGATTTTTTTTGTTTTATAGATGCTTAACGAAGAAAAAATCATTAATGGTGAGCATGATTTCAGATTTAATGGCGATGGTTTTATGTCACCTAGAATTTTCATCAAACACCGAAGTGTTGATAATTTTTTTTCCGACACCCCTTCTCCTCTCAGCAAGAGCCCTTCTCCTAGGGAAAGCCCTGGTACTCTCTCAAGAAGTGCAAGCAGGAGGAGTACAACCCCGACCCCGACCCCGACGCCTTCTGCTTCAGCCACTCCTCGAGAAAGCCCTTCTCTCTCGAGAAACGCGAGCAAAAGGAGTCCGACCCCGACTCCTAGAGCTACAACCACTCCTCGAGGGAGCCCTTCTTTCTTGAGGAGCGCGAGCAAAAGGAGCCCGACCCCAACGCCAAGAGCTACGACGACTCCTCGAGAGAGCCCTTCTTTCTCGAGGAGCACAAGCAAAACGAGCCTGACCCCGACACCTAGAGCTACAACTACTCCTCGAGAGAGCCCTTCTTTCTCGAGGAGCGCGAGCAAAAGGAGCCCAACCCCGACACCTAACGCTACAACCACCGCTCTCTTGAAGAACATGAGCTGGATATGCATGGATGTGCATTCACCCGTGGCATCGCTGTCAAGAAGTGCAAGCAGGATGAGCCCCCCAACACCTATTATGTTCTCCAACTCTAATGGCTACATGAAAGCCCCCGCAGTCGAGGAGAAGCTTGAGTGCACACTTGAGGAGTTGTGCTTTGGGTGCATCAAGAAGATCATGATCACAAGAGACGTAGTCACAAATCATGGGTTTGTTACTAAAGTTTCCAAATTTCTTAACACTTGCACATGCCTTACTTGGTTTAAGTTTCTGAAAACAGTTCTCAACTAAAAAAATTAAAAAATAAAAACTCTAAGGCATACTTGATTTGTAATTCTAGAAACAATTCTCAAAAAATAGTTCTCATAACTATAAAATAAAGACTACTTAGGAATTTTTATAAATGAGTTTTGAAAAACTGAAAACTGTATAAAATTTTTTGTTTGGTTTAGTTACAAATCAAGTAAGCTCTAAGTTTTTTAGAAAACTATCAACCAAACAAGTTTTTGTATTATTTATCGATTTTCGATTCTCTCAAGACGGGAGAACTTAATCAAACAAGCCCTAAATTGAAGCATAAAAATTCAAAATTGAATAGCAACGAACAATAGCTTATTTGTGACTCCATTTGTGTATGTTCTCTTTGTTTGCTGCAGGGAAATAATACAAGAAGATGAAATGCTAACGATAAATGTGAAACCGGGATGGAGGAAAGGAACGGAGATTAAATTCGAAGGCATGGGAAATGAGACACCGAACACTCTCCCAGCCGATATAACCTTTTTGATTTCAGAGAAACGGCATCCATTGTTCAGGAGAGAAGGCAACGATTTGGAATTGATAGTAGAAATGCCTTTGGTAAAAGCCCTCACAGGCTGCACCCTCTCGGTGCCTCTACTAGGTGGAGAGAAGATGAGTTTAGGGATTACAGATATTATATACCCCGGATACGAAAAGATTATTGCAGGACAAGGCATGCCGAAGCCAAAAGAGCAAGGAAGAAGAGGGAACTTGATAATGAAATTCATAATCGAGTTTCCAACAGATTTGACAGAAGAACAACGATCCGAGCTTTTTAGTATTTTGCAGGATGCTTGTTGAACATGAAAAAATTGTTGTTTCATCACTCCTAGCAAATTCACTCACTACTTCATTGTAGAATTAATACACAAGCTTTTAGAGATTTAGTCATCCAATACATATTTGTTAGATGTTCAGTAATAGATTAGAAATTTCAATTGCAGACAATCTCCTTTCATAGACTTGGTTTTTGTTTTTATGTTTTTTCAGTTGATATTTTGATAATTGAGAAAATGGAAACAGATGTTGCTATCCCATTACACAATGCATATAATCTGATTGTGGTGAACTGAAGAACCATGATTGGCAGAAAATCAGATAGAACACTACATTAATTCATAAAAGAAATCAATGAAATTAACTTTTTTGTAATTAGAATGAGGAATAGAACCTAAAATTCTCAAGTACCTAGAATTCTTATCTGGCACCAAGGTTTGAAAGCGGAAGCGTGAGAGCAGTTGAGCAAGAACATATGCAGAACATAAGAGCGACATTAGTGAGAAGAATTGTGTGACTTAATATGACTCTACAAAAGAACTTTGTCCTTGTACGACATGAAATGTCGTGACCCGGAGAATTCCCTTACAATATGGAAAGGATGGGAAATGGTACCCTCACTTCCATAGCTATTAAGAGTATTCGGTCAAGAAATTATGCTAAAACCCTTCAGCCTGATGTTCTAAACTGTGTCAACGACTCTACAAAAGAGTAACGGTGTCCTCTTAGAATAGGCTTTATGACTACAAAAGATGAACTGTGTCCTTGTAGGACAGGAAATGTCTTAATAATAATAATTAAAATAAATAAATACGGAGTCCTTGTCTGGAAAAGATGGGAGTTTTTGCATAAATGACTAGTCTTTAGTTCTAAACTGTCTCCTAATAGTTCAACGTAACAAATAATCTTAAACTTTTACTTCTGCCATTTCAAAGTAACCTTTTAATTTTTATCTGTTCCAAAATAATTATCCTTTTTGAAAAGTCAATGTATTATATATATATATATATATATATATATATTTTGTAATATTACCAATTTGATCTTTCTGCATTCAAATTATAAAAAATAAATTATTACATCACTGTAGATCCAATAGGAATAAAAATAATACAATAAAAATAATAGTAAAATCATATTTTTAGGCTCCCAAAGAGACACTTTTGTTTTGTTTTGTTTTGTTTTTTTCTTCTTTCCGTTGGCAAAGAGAACAGTCGAACAACACTTACACAACAAACACCATATGCACACACAAACCATAAAGAACCACAACTGACAAAATAACTAACTATAGACAAACCTAACACTAAGCTAGGTCACAACAACAACCTAAAGCTTAAAAAGGAATCCGGAGAACAGGACTGACTAACACCCTATTGGTAAAATATATGTTTCATATGACATTTAAGATATAACAACCCTTATACTAATATGCTAGATAATTAACAATATACTAAGAAATGATTAATTAAATACGCAACTATATATTTAATTAAATATGCAAAATAAAGTAATAAATTAATAAATAATAAATAAAGAACTTGGATTGAGGCTAATATTGAATACTATGTTCTTAAGACAGATTCACCCCGCTATGGTGCTAACTGACTTAGTGGCATCTATCTCCTAGGATATAACGCTCTACATCTATCAGTAGCAACACTACAAACTCGTGGATACGGCGAATCTCCTCCGTGTAATACTCTCTCTAACTAAAAAATGCATTTATACTATATAAATAATGAATTGGGTGCAATCCAAACCAATTGGCTCGGACCAAATTTAATATGGCCCAATGAAATTTGTTTTGGGCCTAAGTGGCTCAGACCACTTGACCATGGCTTGAACCCACACCCACTTGGTTTGGGTTCATCTTGAGAGAGGGAGAGAATAATGAATTGCACTTTAAATGGCATCCAAGGGTGGGTATTTATAGAGAAACCGGTGCCTCTTGGTTAATGGACGTGTCCCTTTAGTTGTATCCCTTATACAAAATTTGGTTTAAACTACCCTTTAAACACCTATCCACTTTGGGTGTAGTTCACATTGAACAGACATAAGTTTGGGTTGCATCTCTTCCTCTCACAACCTTTTATCGCACCTTTTAAGTGCAATGCAACCCTTTAGCAATTTTAATTCAAAATACCAACAATTCCCCACATGAATGAAAATCGGTTACTTAAATGAAAAAATGATTATGCAGACACTAGAGAGAGTATAGTCGGAAAGTTACTGCATCGGGATAGGTAGCTTTTGGCCTTGAACCTTCCCTAGTGTATTACTATCGGATTTACTGGCTAACTAGTAAATGTGATGTCTTGAACTGTTCAGCCATTTACGTAAACCAAGACAATAGCAAACACACGATACCTTTCCTCACAGAGTTGGTTCTCATTGTTGTGTTCATTTTGGTCCTGAATAACTCCTGGTATTCACGAGTGCTCTAGAAAACTTAGCCTTTATAGTTCTCATAAAGCGGCCCCACTTCTCACTCATATAGGTGACTTCTTATTAAGAGTATCCTACTATACCCCACTTGAATTTTCAAGGTATAAGAGTTATTAAAAGCGTAACTTATCCTAATCATCGCTGTAGGTAGCACTGTCTCATCATAAAAATGGGCTGAAGATTTATATCTTCCTAGTGCTTCTGGTGAGTCATTCAGAATTTCTGTTGTCTGTTTGAACCTAGATCTTGGAATCTCCAGTCAGCGAGGTTGGGTTTCCATTAAGATGACTCGTTAGTTTTCGGCTTTTAATCCTATTCCCCTCGATGATTTGTAAAATTACTCTCTAGTACAAACCTTAATTTTATATGTGGCCACATGGACGTTGTAAATAGAAATATTATACTCTGCGGAGATTTCCCCAATTGAGAGTAAATTTATACTTTGTCCCCTAAAATTGCTTATTATTGGCACAGGTGTAGACTTATTTTAAAATGTCCTCTAAGTTAAGTCTATTAACTTTTCTGTTTGATTTATTCAAAGTTTCTAACTTTGATTCTTTAAAAGAATATATAACTACACCTTTAATATTAAAGACGTATCCACTCTTGGATTTGGAGTCTTTAATATCCCTCATCCAGATTGCATCACTGTTATACCTCCAATTTAGTTAAATACATCGATCTATGCAATATTGGACTTAGGTTGTATCTCAACTACCCAATTTATTGCTTTTCAGTGATCCTATCCTGGATTGAAAATGTGTAATTTAAACACAGTTATTAAGATGCCTTGCAATCTCAACCAATGATATACTTTGACTAGTATTTATATTTGAGATTTACATCTACAAAAGTTAGCTAGGCTTTTATTATCATAACTGGTATTATCTCAATCTCACTCTATTGAGAATATACTATGTTATCAAATGTTAAATCTTTCATATCAAATATACTAATTAGTATATCATTAATTTTTTAAGGCATATAATGACTTATGCATCACATTTAGTCATTGTCTCAGTAGCAGCTTTAATCCACTCAAGGACTTATAAGCTTACACACTTGACCTTTCAATTGGAACAAATAACTCAGTTCTTTAGTTAAAAAAGAATTCTTCTAGTTGTTTAATAACATTTTCCTTGTAGGAAACAACATGTACTATTGTTATAATACTATAAATGATTTTTGGTTCTATTATAAAACTCTTAGGACTCGGAACTCCCCACATTTAAAAGTATTTATCTTAAGATGAGATGTCTCGTAGTAAATTTCATTTATGAATAGTATCAGCCCCACAACTTTGGGATAATCCTGAAATTGTATTTATTATGATTTTCTAACTCTTGAAATACCATATACTAAATACTTCATCTCATCCACCTTTCCATATTCGTTTCTCAACAAGCATGTATAACAGTCTCTAGTGCATATGTACTCACTTTATCACTTTATCTCTAACTTATTCGTATAATAATTCACCGACATTACTGTAAATTTCATGCTAGAGATATTAATTAGATTGGGCTTTAATTAATATTTGCTTCCACATTTCTCATATTTATGACTTGAGTTATTTATATTTAGGTTCATGTTAACTCAGTCATATTAACATATCATAACATTTCATGTGTCACACATCACATAACTCCTTCATTTAAGCAAATAACTCACTTATTATTTAAGCTTTGGATACATCACAACATAGTGAGCACTCTCTTCTCAGCTATCATTACTAGTTAAAAGTGCGTTTTAAGCTATCATTATTAGCTTAGATTAAACACATTCTTCTCATTAATCACTACTAGTTTATAATGAGCACCTACTTCTTACTATTACCATTAGCTTGAAGTTAAGTTTACTCAATCAATTCTAGTAACTCTTAACTTTAGTACACACTTATCTAAGTAGTATACCTTAGTGGTAGAGTAATTTGCTTTGAAAAATATTCTTCAAAAACTACTACTTTACAAGTAGTATTATTCCCTCCTACATGAGCAGATATGATGTATAGCTCAAATAGTTTTTGGCTAAAATGACTATTCATCTGTGACGACCCTGGTTTTTAGACCAGCGTGTCCTGTGATGAACTGAAGGTTGACCCGATAACGGATCCGAATGTGGAAGCGAAAATAGAAAACAAGACTCTAAGAAGTCAAAGTGACCTTCCATGAGGTCATGGAACTCAATAAGAACTAATGCGGGAACGAATGATCAGAAAAGACCGAATAGGCCCCCAAGGGCAAAATGGTCATTTCTAAAAACTATAGATTCGGGTGCCACCGAGCACACCGCTGGAAGGACAACGAAAAACTAATCAAGATGGACTTAAGAATCACATGATTCGGAGTCCGAACGAAGGAGAAACGGCATAACGAAGAAAAACGAGCATTTAAAGCAAAAAGGGTAAACTGGTAATTATTCAGGAAGAACCGGGTGTAACCAAGCACACCGTTGGAAAGACAGCGAAAAATTAGTCAAGTTCAAAAAAAAATTCACTTGAATCGGAGTCCGGACGAAGGAGAAAGGCCCAAAAGAAGAATTGACGTCGCGACGGCCCAACGAGGGGCCATGGCGCA